ACACATTTAAATGTGACAAAAAATTCGTACCTTCACTCATGTGTAGGGCGTATAACTGCTTTTCAAGTACAATTTATTTGTCAGTATTTTGGACATGTATAGGCTTTCCAACCTTGTCCAAATTCCACGTGAAGTGTCTTCATCAATGATGTTATTTACCACATCATCTGATAAGTGCAACCTAATTGCACTAGTAGCTCTTTCATCCAAGTCAACCCAATCCTCAGCTTTCATGGTATCAGGCTTTTTGGAATCAACATCTAGAACCTTGTGTAATCCTTATTGGATGAGCAGATCTCTCATCCTTCTTTANAGCCCAATCCTCAGCTTTCATGGTATCAGGCTTTTTGGAATCAACATCTAGAACCTTGTGTAATCCTTGTTGGATGAGCAGATCTCTCATCCTTCTTTGCCATGTTGAGAAACCGTTATCTCCGTTGAATTTTGCTACCTCGTACTTTACTCCGGACATTTTTATTTTTCACCAAGAATAGTACTATCGACAGTGAATAGTATTTCAGTGAACGAGCAGAACCTGTGCTCTGATACCAGTTGTTGGGAATAAACCCCTTACCAAAATAATATTCACGGTAATAAAGCGGAATAATAATGTAGCACCGAGATACGGTAATTAACAAGAATAAAAGAGTAACAATGACACCAAGATTTTTACGTGGAAAACCCTTCTGAATAAGGGAAAAAAACCCACGACCCCGAGAGGAGCAACTGATATCACTATAGTAAGGAATTTTACACTTTGTAGGTCGGAGATAAATACTCCAAAGACCACTACAACACTCAAAAGAAATAACCCTCTTTTGATATTCCCACCTCACTACAATATCGCTCACTCTCTATTTTCCTCACAGACTATTTTCTTATACCTTGTCTGTGAAACCTCACTCTTTCTTTCTCTCTTTGTTGGTGTGAAGAAATGAGAGTTGAAGCTCTCCTTTTATAGCCAAAGCTTCACCCTCTAAAGCCTACAATATTTGACAATTTACACACACTTTTCACAATTCAACAAAGTTGGCTACCAAACCAAAGAAATTCAACAAGGTTGGCTACCAAACCAAACTAATTCAACAAGGTTGGCTACCAACCAAACCAAGTCAACAAGGTTGACTACCAAACCAAAGAAAACTCTTATTAGGCACATGCCTAATACTTCTTCAATGAGATGGACATCATCAGATATGTCTTCAGGTGCTCCAAAATAGATGCTTTCTTTTGGCTCACCTGCATTCCAATAAAATAATATTGCGTGTATTACCACAAAAAATAAAAAATAAAAACATATAGAACAAGTTATATTTAGATGATAGTGTTGGTATTATAATATAGAGGGTAAATAATGATGGGATTATTTATTGGATATACTTTTATTGGTAAATATTTAATTCATTGAATTAAAAATGAGATAAATAAGGTATAATATAAAACATATGTTTGGTTTTACACTAGCTTAATTGGAATAAACTTTTATTTCCATTTTAGCCTTGACTTTTTTTTTAAAGGACTCTTTGAGAAGAGCTTCGATTAAGAAATGATTTGATTGTGTAAATTATTTTTTAAACCGTTAGTGCATAGAAGTTAAACTTAATGATTAGTAGAAAGATTATCAAGTACAAATTGAAGGATGAAAGTAGAAATAATTTATCTTTGGGTTTGTCATTAGAATTAAGCATCTCAGAGTAAAGGGGGGAGTAACCTCTATGATTCTTACGAAGCAGCTTCATCTTTTATTCAAGTGAGAGACCAAAAAACTTTCTGCTCCCTTCGAAAACTTTTTGAATCAATTCTTCTTCTATCCCATGATTTATCAAGCAAAAGAATCCATCCTCAACGCATGCCTGCAAAACACATGCTCAAAAAGTTCCCAACTTCCCATCATTTAGCATTCAAACTTTTACTACACTCATTTCAAAGAGACGCGTAGCCTAGTGGTCAATGGAGTGAGTTGAAAATTATGAGGTCTTAGGTTCAAATCTAGTGAAGGCATAAACACTAGGTGATTTCTTCCATTTGTCCAAGCCTTGAGGGACCAAATTAGTTAATACCTGTGCTGGTAGAAGGTATCTGGTATATGTGCTGGTGGTAGTAGTGGTGGCAAAATGGTTAAAAGAAAACAGTTAACAACTTATATTATCCACCAAAAAACGGGTTGACCAATGAACTTTTCTAAAACGGGTCAAATATGGATAAGAACCATATTATCCATTTAGAAAATGGATAATTAATGGGTTTAACTTTTACATTTGTAAAACCTCAAATTGGGGATTCCTTAAGTTGGGGAGACTAGTAATTCTCCCAAAAGTGATCATATTCAAGAAGTACTCATTTTATCCGTTTTTCATTACTCGTTTTCGACCCAAACCATATTCGACCCAACCCGCTTGTTTGCCTAGGTGGTAGCATGCAGGTCCGAAGCTAAGTGGGCAGAAGACTGTGCACAACTGTACATTAGCTTATTTTTTGTTTTATTTATATATATTTTAGATGTTAGAATTTTTGGTAAAGATCCCACTTCCAGGTACTCCAATGTTAGTGAAGGTGTGCGCAAAAGTGACACCATGGTTGTTTAAAAAAAAAAGCTTTTACTACATTGTGTGAAACTATTTGGATTATAGAAAGTGAGGTGTACCTTGCGGAGCGAATCAGCGAGTAAGGTGCGATCTGTAGAGCTAAGATCAATAATCGGAAGTTGCAGAGCTCCCTCCATTTTTTATTTTTATTTTGGAAAAATCACTAAAACAAATTCGTACAGTGCCCTTAAGACTAGTACTATCAAATTTATAGTGACTACCTAACCAACTGGTGATTTTGTATTACCTAATAAATTGTATTTCGTACAAGGAAAAAGAGTGAGCATACTTCCCGTGGGTGCTCGGCAAGGGCGGATGCAGCATACACGATCCAGTACTTTCGACGCGGACCATAAATTTATATATTAAAATCACTAAATTTATAATAAATAATAGATATAAATACATAACTTTAAAATATAATGTGTTTTAATGCTAAAAATTTTAAATATTGAACTCATAGAATTAAAATCTTAGATCCGCCCGTGATGCTCGGGAATTATGACTTTGAATCAATAAACGGTACTCCTTAAAATTAAAAAAGAATACAGAAGTTGACACTTCAACAACTACAAGTATATGATTCACTTGTGCTACTAAGGGGTCGGTTGGTAGGATGCATTAGATAAAATAATGTATTAGATAAAATAATGCATGCATTACTTTTATATATAATAATGCCTTGTTTGGTACACATTTTGAACCTATGCATTAATTATGCAAGTATTATTCATATACCCTATTTGTTATTATCATGTGCATAACTAATGCATAGAAAACCATGGTGTTAATAATGTAATGAGTTTTAATGCATGCATTAGCTTAGTTATAGAAAAAATTATAGGAAAAATGCATAAAGATCCCATTCAACTTGTCCTAAAAAATTATTTACACACCTAAACTTTACGGGTGTCCTAACACCCCCACTATTGTTAAAATAGTTATATTTATTTACTCCCTCCTAAACCCTGGCCCAACTATAATAACTTGAGCGGGAAAGACGCGTTTTTATTATGAAGCCATGTAATTAAATTGTTCAGTAAATAAAAATAACATCCTTCTTCTATTTACTAACACTCTCATTCACCCCGTTAGTTAAAAATTCCCAAATTGAAGAACTCTAATGCCCCACCTTCAAAGATTCGATTTGCCTCACAAAAAATCGAAGGGACCTGTTGCAAAATCCTTCGATTTTGTTGTTCTTTAGGGTTATGTTTGTTGTTATTGTTTCATTTGACGAGTTGGTGGAAGACCCGTTCGAAGCCGAAGGTCTTTGAAGAATCAAGTTCAAACGTTATCTCTGTTTTAGTTTGTAGGTAAACCCATCAAGCTTAGCTTTTTCTATCATCAATCCTAAATGTTATCTCAATATCATCTGTAACTAGGGTTTTGGACTTGCTTCAAATTTCTTCACTGTAACGTTTTTAACATAAAATCGAGTAACAGAAATATAATTTTTAAGGTGTAATAATAACCAAATTTCAGTTTTTTCTTGTTGCATGTGTTGTCATTTGTTATGTCGGGGTCTAATAGTAACTATTAATCTTTAATTAGTTTATTTTCTACTATATTCAAGTATTTTAATGTCTTTTGTACTTGTTACACTGAGGTTTTTGCATTGTGAAAAAATCTCCATGGATAAGTTACATTCCTTTTCAATGGAGGATTAAATTGGTGGGATGATTATTGATTGTGTTGATGTCGATGTTGATATGTTCTCATATTTTGAGTTTATAGGTTATGTGAAAGAGTTTGGGTACAATAGTTCTTCTGCTGTTATTTATGTTAGACCACCTAATTGTCCTGGTTTAGTAGTAATTAAGGTTGATAGGGACCTTATGAATATTTGTGATGAGTTTAAAAGTGGGAATATTTTGGAGGTATATGTAGATCACACGGTTGATGATGTTGTAGCGGTCCCCCCTCTATTAGAATATATCAGTCAACTAGGGGTGATAGTAATGTTTTTTTTAGAAGGAATCTAGTCAAGATTTGGGGGCTGTGAGGGTATGGAAACTTCTGAAAAGGCATCCAATGCTGCTGAAAATAATGCCAATAATAGTGTACCTACTGATGTTACTACCGATGATAGTTCAAACTCCTCATCTGAATCTAGCAGCAGCACTGGTAATAGCTCAAATTCAAAGCATGGGAAATTGTTTGAAGAAGGAGAAGATGATTATGACAGTGATACACATGAGGAGTATAGGGCATTTAGGGCAGAAAGAAAGACTGTAGAGAGAAGGAAGAGGAAAGAAAGTGCTCCTGAACAAGAACATGTTGAACGAGGTAAGAGAGGACCAGATGTGGGGCATGATGAATATGAATCTAGGAAGAAGAATAGTTTAGAAAGTAAGATAGGTAGTGATGAGCCTTATTACCATTCAGATGAAGCTGCTACTTTTGAGACAAGGGGAGGTTCAACAGAAAGTTGAAGCTAGAAGAAAAACGACTAAAAAAAGAGTAATCTTTGACAAGACTTGCAAGAAAATAGTTTGGAAAACGGGACTTGCATTTGCAAGTGTGAGAGATTTTAGAGAAGCTATAATTAAATATGTTGTTCAACAAAATGTTTATATAGAAAAGTACGTAAATAAACCTACAAGGGTGAGGGTTAAGTGCAAGAAGGCATCTTGTCCTTGGCTTCTAGTTGCTAGTTATGATTCTAGGACTTGTGAGCACCTAATTTTTGACCATATTTAAATTTATTTTTATCACCTTTGATATTTAAATAGTTTTTAAGTTTAATCTAGATATTTTAGCTTGTATTTCACTTTTTTATAGGTTTTATTTGATAAAATTGAAAAATACAAAGAAAAGTCATATTTTAGTTTTGCTAAGGATAAGATGTAGATTTTAGTAAATAATACCCTTCTTGATTAATTTTTATTCTATTTTAAATTTTTTGAATTGTTTTAAGTAGTATATTATTATGTATTCATTTAATTAATTTAGTTACTTCATATTGTTTTTCAAAAGAAAGAAACAAACAAAAGAGCAAAAACAAAAAATGAAAGAAGAGAAACGTACAAAATAGAAAGGCAAAAGTAAGGAAAAAAAGTGGTCCCCCTTTTCCCCCTTTCCTCCAAAATCACGTGCCCTTTGATCATTTTGTTAATTTTGGCATTTTCCTTCGGAGGAGACCACACATTTTTAATAGAGAATTTTTCATAAAATACCATCTTTTAAGTCTAATTAGCCACTTATAGATACTCTTTGCTATATTACATATTATAAATACCTTTTATGTTTTTATACAATGTATTTTATGTATTTAAGTTGTTGTATTCATTAATACAACCAAAAAAATAGGCGTAAAAACTGGAATTCCAGCTAAGTTTGACATGTATTTAGCTGTATTCAAGCGGCATTAACGTTAAATACAGAAGGTTAAACTGGTTAAAAACGGAAGGAAATCAAATCACATGATATTCTCCTAATTTAACTCCACGAACTAATAAGGAAATCAAATCACATGATATTCTCCAAATTTAACTCAACGAACTAAAACGATCCCTCATTAGTCTGTGTTTGAAAGATACATAATAAAGATTATAGCTGAATAAAGAGAAATACATATGAATAATACAGTTGAGTAGAACTGTATACAGTTGAATACAACAAAATACAACTTAATTCATCTGAATAAAACACTTGAATACAACAAAATACAACTGAATACAGCTGAATAAAACTCTTTAATGCAACAAAATACAACTAACTTCTGCTGAATAAAATAGTTAAATACAACTGATTAAAACTGAATACAAGAGAATACGCATAACTTTTTAATACATCTAAAATATATAAATTAATGCTACTGAATACATATGAATACAGCTGAAATATACATTCGAATACAACTGAATACAAATAGGCGATTTGGGCGATCTAGAGAGAGAAACAGCCTGATGGCTTCGCCGACCGGCAGCCAGCCATTAATTCCGGTTGGTCAGCCCCTTAACACATTTGCCCAACCTCCTACAGCAACTACAAACAATCCCCATCCCTCAAATCCCACAAACGAAACCATGAATTACGCAAAAGCTGTGGACCCTACTTCAACGACCACTGCCAAGCAGAATCGAGCCGCTACAGTTGAACCAATTGCTCTTCGTCTATCAAAATCAACGAATTAAACTTACCCTAGGCGATTGTAATGGAGTGATAATGGAGGAGAACTAGAGAATTTGGGTGGGAGGAGAGGTATGAATCGTGGGTTGAGGGAGAAAGAGTAAAGTGTATGCAAAAAGAGAGAGAACGTGGTTAGTCAATTTTACTGTGATTATGTGAGAGAAAAGACTAAAAAGGAGAGAGAAAAATATTATTTAGCATATATGGTGCCTTAAATGTAGGATGCAACTATAATTAGATATTTGGCTATAAAGTATAAAAGGTATCTATAGTATGCAATAATTTAAAATGGTATTTATTTAAAATAAATAGGGTACTAAGGTTTTCTATAGGGTGTAAAAATTTCTTTTTAATATTGATTTTCTTGTTTTCCAAGTCCATTAATTTGGTGGGAGTCCTATATAACAAAGACATAAACACACACACACACACACACAAAAAAAAAAAAAAAAAAAAAAAAAAAGAGGGCCTCCTTCACAAAAACACACGCTAAAAAAAACACAGAGACGATGAAAAAAGAAGCTTAAGCCGTTACCCACTTTAGCATTCAAACTTTTACTACACTTATACAAAAAGTGTTGCCTAGTTGTCAATGAAGTGGGTTGAAAACATGAGGTCTTAGGTTTAAACCCAGTGAAAGTATAAATACTAAGAGATTTCTTCTGATTTGTCCCACCCTTGAAGGACAAAGTTACTTGGTACCTGGTATCTATGTTGGTGGCAGCACGCAGGTCCAAAGCTAGGTGGGCAAAAGAGTTCTGCCGACCCCCTTTGTCGAAAATTATACTATGTACAGCTGTACATAAGGTTATTTTTCATTATATATATATATATATTAAATGTTGAATTCTTTTGATAAAGATACTACCTCCAGATACTTCAAAATTAGTAGAGGTGTGCGCAAAACTGATACATGGTTGTCAAAAAAGCTTTTTTACTACATTGTATGAAACAATTTAAATTATAGAAAGTGAGGTGTACCTTGCGGAGTGAATCAGCGAGGAGTCCAGAACCAAAATGTG